GGTGGGCGGGGCGGGGGAGGCCGAGGGCTTAGCTGGAAGGCAGTGCCTGCACGAAGAGGCCGCGCGCGTCAGTCCGCGCCAGCTTGGCCGGCGGCTCCAGGGTTTCGGGGCCCAGCGCGGGTGACTCGCTGCCAGCCGCCAGCGAGATGTCCTGCGGCAGATCATCCTCGCTCTCCTCCTCTTCTTCCTCCTCCTCGTCTGGGGCACACGGATCACGCCCGGCTCAGCGCGGGGCGGCGGCTCCCCGGGGCCCCCGCCGGCTCCTCCTCCACCCTAGACACCCTAGCCACCGCCCCCCCGGACCCCGGCACTGGGTAGGGACACGCCCCGCCTACCTTTGTCTGGGTCCAGGGAGTTCAGTGAGGTGGCCAGGTTGGCGAACTGGAGGAAGGGGAGAAGAGAAAGGGTGAGGGTCCCGCCTCCCGCCGCCCTGCCCGCGCCCTCAGCGCCCCGCCTCGCACCTCGCCCATGACAGCGATAGGGGTCTCGCCCTTGGCCTGTGCCACGCGGTGCTCGATCAGGTAGTACATGTACTCGTCATAGAGCAGCCGAATGAGGTGGAAGGAGCCGAAGCTGGCAGCGCTGCGCAGGGTCAGGTCCCGGATCACCATGGAGCTGGGAATGGAAAAGAGACCATCAAGCCAGGCCCAGCCCCTTGCCCCCATTCCCGGCAGTAATGCCCCCAGGCATCAGGCAAGCGCAGCAACCCGGGCTCCCTCTGGCATCCATCACTAAAAACCGAAGCCCCCCACCTTCGAAGTCATCTCCAAGGAGGTGGAGCCCCTTCTCTGCCCCGCCCAGGGAGGCGGGGCTCGCCTGGGCCCCACCTGGAGAGTGGCCTTCTCTGGTCCCCCCCCCCAGCCCTCCAGGGAGGCGGGACTCGCCGGGCCCCACCCGGGGGAGCGGCCTTCTCTGACCCACCCACCAGAGAGGCAGGGACATCATGGCCCCATCCCAGGGAGTGGCCCTCTCTGGCCCCGCCCCGCACGCCGGATCCCGCGGCGCGGGCGCGCACCTGTAGAAGGACCACTTAAGGAGGAAGAGCTTGGCGGCCTTGGGGAAGCCGGCGCTGCCCTGGTAGGGTTTGAGCACCTGGCTCACAACACCGTCCAGCCAGGCCGCCCACTGCTCCAGCGAGTTCTGCTGCTGCAGCGTCACCTTGAAGTCCTGCTCCAGCCGCTGCACCACTCGGTCCTCGCAGCGGCACACCCACGAGGCCTGCTCCTGGGGCACAGCGGGCGGGGATGCCCGAGGCTCAGCCGCCGCAGCCCTGGGCCCGCCCCGCTCGCACCTGCACCGCCCCGCGCGCACCTGAACGTTGGCGAAGTCCACGCGGTTGAGGTCGCTCAGCATCTGGTTGATCTGCGCGGTGTTCTGCAGCACGGCCCGCGCCGCCTGCGCCAAGTGGTTGAGCGATGTGTAGCGCCGTAGCGTCTGCGCGAAGGCGCCGGCTGCTGCCACCTGCGTGCGGGACCATGGGGCTTGTGGCTTCCGCGGACCCCCTTCTTCCCCCGCCCCGTGCCCCACCTGCTGCCACCTCTCTTTAGTCTCAGTTTACTAAAAAAGGAGGGTTATGCCTGGCTGCTTTTGTTGGGAGACCAAGGGGTCGAGATTTTCAAACTTTGGGTATTCACCCACTGGTTTGAATCAAAAAATCACCTTATCGTCTTCTGACTGGTATTATTACTTTTAATGCAAGAACACAATAGAAAATAAGGACCACCCAGAAAGGGCAAGCATAAGCTTTTGTTTCAATTACTCTACACTCCAGTCTCAGCTCCAGGAGGGCAGGGGTTTTGTCCTTCATGCTGGACACAGTAGGTGCTCAATAAACGCGTGTTGAGTGAACAAATGAATACACGGGTCTGGCCAGTCCCTTTGAAGAGCTTCTCCTCTCTCCACAGGCCCCGCCCCCTCCCACCCGGGGGAGATTCCTCTGACACCCACTTCTGTTTAGCTGTCTTGTTAACTTTTTTTTTTTTTTGGCCCAAGAGCAAGCACATCCCATGTAATTTCCCACATCTAAGTAGTCAGCATGCAGCATTGATGAAGAGGGCTATTATTCTATTATAGATGATGTTGCCTTTTTTAAAAAAGGTTTGATCTATTCTGAACGCCTAAAGCACTTTCTATCTAGGCTGTCTGAAGAGAACTACTGGAAATTTGCATTCATTTTTTTTTTTTTTTTTTTTGCCTTTTTTCGTGACGGGTAACGGGATCGCAACCCTCAGTGTCGCGCCCATACCGTGACCGGCAACAGGATCACAACCCTCGGTGTCGCGCCTGCACGGCGCTCAGCCAGTGAGCAGACCAGTTTCTATATGGGATCCGAACCCTCGGCAGGAGCGCCACTGCGCTCCCAAGCGCCACACTCTACCGAGTGCGCCACCAGGCCGGCCCTGCATTCGGTTTTTAATAATGATGCTATGTCGAGTACAAAAACCCTACAAAGCAGTTGCATTTCAGAAGTGGGCAGTCGAGAAAGCAGGTTTCTTCAGAGCTCTCTCTGGGATGGATGAAGACCCACCTTACCCTCGTGCATGCACGTCATCCCCAGAACAGGTAACGGGACAAATCTTACTGCCCTATAGAGGAGAGGAGACCGAGGCCCACAGCCAGGAGGAGCTGGGCAGTGAGCCCACACGCCCTCACCTTCACCCGCAGCATCTCCTCGGGGATGTTCACCATGGCGTGGGTGAGCCAGCTCTCCAGGCTCTTGGCAAAGTTTCGGATCGCTTGGGTCAAGGCACCTGTGGGCAGTGGTAAGGGCTGGTCAGGGCAGGAGGTGGTACATTCGGGGTAGGGGGTGGGCGCGGTGGCCCAGCACTCACTGGGGATGGGCCGCAGCACGTCGGGGATGAGGATCTCCACCAGGCCCTGGTATAGCACGTTGTCACAGTGCTTGGTCCACTGGAGCACAGGCTCGAACTTGGAGAGGAGCACCAGGCTGGCCTTGGGCAGCCGCTTCTCAGCCTCGTCGTGCCTGTAGGCACCCGTCCCACCCCAGGGTCACAGGAGCACTCCATAGTCCTGCACCCAGGGTCAGAGGACACAGGCACGCACGTCCTGCCCCACACCCCTGGGTCAGGCAGGCACTCCCTGTCTCCTGAAGATTCCTGGGGTCAGGCTGGTACAGGCCCCAAGGCCCTAAGGGTCAAGTGGGGATCCTATACCCTGCATCCAGGGGTTAAATGGGCACAGGAACCCACCCACTCCAGGGAGGAGATGGTGCCCTGCCCTCATGCCCAGGCTCCGGAGGGCTCGGCTGAGCTTGCCATCCCAACCTCTGGGTATCAGATGGATACACACACACTCTGAGGGTCAAGGCCATGTACACCCCACTCCTGGGCATCTGACTTGTGTGCACCTGGGGGTCATGTCCTCCCCCCCTTGCCCCATGGGACTCACACGGCCAGTGGCGGCACCTCGCTAGGCTGGCTGAGGTTGTACCTCCAGAAGGTCTTCCACAGCGTCTCCACCAGAGTGAACTGCAGGTTCACCATGACGTCGACAATGGCCTGTTGAGGAGGCTGGACGCTCAAGGGGCTTTGGGGGCAGTGTGGCCCTCCCTCACCCGTGGCCAAGCCCCTGTCCCGCCCCTACCCCACACTGCCCTACCTCACAGTGTTCCCGGTACAGGACCTGGAAGGCCTTGATGTCCCCCGGCCCAACGCCCTCGGGCAGCACTTTGCCCTGGAGGTCGAGTTCTGTGAAGTCAGGGAGGCTCCGAGAGGCATCTGGGGGGTGGGGGCACAATGAGGCCCTTTGTCCTCCATCTGCATGCCCCTGAGTCTCCCCCGGGATCATATCAATTTGTCACCACTTTCCCACCAAGTATAGGCCCCCCATGTACAGCAGGCTGAGGGTGGGCAAGCACCTGGCTCAGGGTCCCGGGACAAGGAAGACCTGAGAGCCTATGCTCCCCCCACCACAGAGAACACGAGGGGCTGTGAGCCCACACGCCCTCACCCGTGTGGGCTCTGCTTGCCTGCTCATGGTGGCCCTGGGCTGGGCCTTGGGATGTGGGCCTCTGAGTCCCCTACCTCCACCCACCTGACCAGGGTGCAAGCCCCAGGGCCCAGGAAGGCCCACAGTGATGCTGCCCTGAGCCTGGGGGCCCCAGGTGGGGAGCTGATCATGGACAGTCACCATAGGGATGCCCCTGGACTCTACGAGGAATGTGCTCACCCTTCCCTCAGCTCCCTGGCACCTATGGGGAGAGACTGAGTGTCTAGGCCTTGTGGGCAGGTGAGTGCCAGGAAACAGATCACCATGCAGTCACCATCATGGACATGTGGCTGGCATGTGCTGTGTTCCTGGGGTTAACTAGTTTATGTTAGCATCATTTTGCCTCATTTTCATTGATTATTCTTTTTGCTTGTCTTTTTTTTTAGAAGTTTCTAGAAGAAACACGGGTACCACCCATGTGCCATCTTGGTAAGCAGTCCTAACCACACAAACACTACGAGGACAGCCAGATAGGTGAGGGAGCGGCTCTCACCAGGGCTCATGAGGGAAAAGAACCTCCCTGTTATGCCTCGGACTAATGATTCACATGGACCATCCAAATAACCGTGTCTGTCCGGATGGAATTTGGGATCCCAGGCAGGATAACAGGGGCTTAACTTTGGGGCTCAAAAACACAGAAATACTTCCCATGGAAATGAATGGAAATCCACTTTGGAGAGGGTTTCTGGGGACTGAATTGTCACCATGGATGGAGACTGTGACGTCTTGCCACACTCTGCTGATCCTGTGACACCTTGCCAAGCCCTCCCCTGCTCAGAGGCTGCCTGCCACCCAGCTTTGTGAAGGTGGCACGGACCGGCTGCACATTCTCCTGGGGCCACAGACCCCTCTGCAGCCCTGCTCCACAGGCCAGGAAGCTCTCACCCAGGAACTGCTGGTACTGCTGGACCTGGGCACTGATGTCCGACAGCCCCGTGGTCTGCTGCTGCCCCACGGCCACACCATTGGTCATTCCCTCCATCTTCTGGATGGGCTTGAGCCTGGAGGAGAAGGGGCAGGCAGCCGGGGGGTGGGGGATGGGCTGGCTGGGGAATGAGCCAGCTGGGTGGGGACGGGCTGGTCAGGGGTGGGGGGCCAGGCTGTGTGGTGTGGGACTAGCCACTGTGCCCTTCCCCACCCACCCCTCATGTCTGGCCCTGCCCTCCTACCTCTGCTTCTGCGAGAAGGGCTGGCCTCGCATGGCCATGTGCTGCTGGTCCTCCATCAGCCGCAGCAGGGGTGAGCTGGCCTTGATGCGCAGGCCATAGTAGTGGTACTTGGAGTTGCCCCTGGGAAGGAGGTGAAGGGTGAGGGCTGGGCTGGGGGCCGCCAGCAGGACACCAAGAACACACCACCCCTGTCTCCTCTCCATTAGGTGGCTGAATGGAGAGACCCCATCCTGCAGAGCTGGGGGTGCTATGCTCAGGAAGCCCAGGGGCTGTGGGTGTCAAGAGAAAGCTAGTACTTCGCCCAAAGCAAAAAATTCAGAGTGATCAGAAACAAGAGAAATGAGCCACATGGAGGCACGATGGGGGTTGCTAAACGCTAAGGAAAAAAGTTAAGCAGGGAAGGAGGGTGAGGACGGATGTCTGAGTAAGGAGGCAAGGAAAAGCGCACGAGGTAGAGGCCCTGGTGTGAGAGCGGGCAGCTGTGTCAAAGGAGCCTCCAGGAGGCCAGCGGGGCTAGAGAGGAGTAAGCGAGGGCCCAAGAGCGGGAGCTGAGGCCTGAGACAAGTTGGGGTGGGGGTGAGCCTTGCAGGCCGGGGTGTGTCCTTTGAGCCCAGGGGCTGCTGGGAGCAGGCGGGAGGGCCCCACCTGGTGCCAAGGCGGCGGGTCCGCAGGCCCATGAAGACGGAGCGGATGAGCTTGCCGAAGGAGGCGGCGTTGACGGGCTCCAGCTTCTGCTCCTGGCAGTGCAGCAGGTAGTGGCAGTAGAGGGTGCTCCGCGGCAGGCTCACGCCCTCAGCAGTCTCATAGTTGTCCAGCAGCCACTGGACCTGGGGCCAGACAGAGGACAGCAGAAAACCACTAAGAATCACTTCTGTTTCTCCAGTGCCTGCTCCTAAGTGTTCTGTATCTATTTCCCGTTGTGATCGTGACCGCCACAACATAACGCCCGTCATATCGCAGTCCCCCCCTGGGAACTACATCCCACAGAGCTCTCTAGAACTGTACTGTCCAATAGTCACTCCATGCAGGATTTAAAGACAAATTTATATTCATTTATGCTGAGTGATAAAAAGCCAATCTCCAAAGTTCCCATGGTGTAGGACTCCATTTGTAGAACATTCTGGAAATGATAACATTATAGAGACGGAGAACAGATTCGAAAGACAAATTTATATTCATTTATGCTGAGTGATAAAAAGCCAATCTCCAAAGTTCCCATGGTATAGGACTCCATTTGTAGAACATTCTGGAAATGATAACATTATAGAGACGGAGAACAGATTCGTGGTTGCCGGGGGCTAGGGATGTTGGGAGGGAGGTGGTGGGGTGACTATCAAGGGGTAGGTAGCAGTTGGGAGATCTCTGTGGTAATGGAAGTTTCTATATTTTGATTGTGGTGGGTGGTCTCTCAAGTGCACACATGCAATAAAAAGATATAGAGTTAACACGTCAGTTTCCTGGTGTGCATACATAAAACGTAACTAGCAGGGTAACCCTGGTGAAGGAGATACAGGGACCTCTCTGAACCACTATTGCAGCTTCCTGTGAATCTACAATTATTTCAAAATAAATAGTTAAAGACAAGAACTCCTCTCAGTTCCTCAGTGACCCCAGCCACACGCCAAGCACTCAATAGCTTTGTGTGGCTGAGGCTCCTGCACTGGGCAGCACAGAGCGATCTCCCTTATCAGAGAATGTTCCATCGAACGGTACTATTCTATGTTTTTGAACTGTGGGTGAGGACCACCCCAGTTAGGTGGGTCACGACCAGAATTTTAAAAAATAGACTGGAAGCCATGCTGCATGGGTGAGTAAAGGGAGACCACCCAGGACCACCAGGCCCTGACCTACCCATGGTCACATAGTTGGCAAGGGGCCCGGTTGGGGTTGGAATCCAGGGCTGCTTAAGTGACACTGTGCGGCCACCTCTGGGCAGAGGGAGGTATGGTGCCTGCCTTCCAGACAAAGAACCTTGCTCCGGGCAGCTCCTGCCGTGGCAGTGCCTGTCTCTCTCCCCTCACTATCTACCCTCTATCAGCAGTTGTAATCAGAATAGACCACACTTCTTTGAGCACTGCTCTAAGAACTTTGTGCATATCAGCTGAGGCCCAGAGAGGCTGAGTAACTTGTCTGAGGCCACACAGCACAGATTTGATCCCAGGCTACCTGCATGTGAGCACTTCCACACTAGGTGACACAGGCTCCTGCGAATGGTGGCTGGCAACCCCCATCACAGACTGGGCATGTAGTGCCCACCACCACCCTCTCTGCCCAGGGGCTCCCCACTGCCTGCCTCATCTGGCACCCGCGTCGGGGCACTTACCGTGGCTGGTGAGGCACGGGTGGTGTGGGAGTAAGACTGGCTGGCACTGCCCAGCATGTAGCCGCCTTGGATCACGTAGGTGCCTGCTCCACTGCTGCTGCTGCTGCTGCCACCACTGCCACCCCCGCCACTGCCACCACCTCCCCCGCTGCCGGTGCCAGCGCCACCACTGTTGCTGGCCCCACCCCCGCTGCTGGTTGAGCTGGCGATGACCTGGCTGCCGGACACGTACATGGGCACGGAGCCGCTGCTGGCCACCGCCTGAGAGGTGGCGGGGGTGCTGACCTGGGTGGCTGTGCCTGCAGCCTCATAGTAGCTGGTGCCCGCCGTCTGCGTGTACAGCGGCGTCTCAGGGTAGGGGTAGGTGCTGGAGCGGCTGGGAAAGAAGCAGATGCGGGGGGTGGTCAGGGGGATGAGAGCTGGGTAGCTGAGGGTCACAACTGAGGGGAATCCTGCAGGGGGTGGGGGGTCCCAGGAGGGGACTGGGGAAGCAGCAGCCCCAATGCACAAGGATTTGATCCCAGCATTCACCTACAATGAACTGAGTACTGTCCTCAGTGCCTGATGGGCAATTTTTCATTTAATTGTCAAAGCAACCTTCTGGCTGGGGAGTAACCATCCCCAATTCAGAAGGGCTAGGTAACTTGCCACAGGCCATACATGTCACTCAATCAAAAACAAATTATTGCACACCTACTGCGTGCTGGGCACTGTTCTAAGCACTGCAGACACAGCAGCAGATGAGACAGGAGAGCCCCACCCCCGGGGAGCTGAGGTTCCAGTTGGGGAGACCGACCAACTGCAAAGGTACATCAAGGTTGTCGCAGAAGCTGGCGCTTACTTGAGAGGTAAAAAGTGTGAGGGGGGGCAGTGCTGGGGGAAGGGGGTTTTGACTGGAGATGTCCATCAAGAACGTAGAGGTGGTTCCCCTCGACCAGCTACCTATCCCTCCCTGGAGAGTTCTCCTCCAGCTGTCCCTGGAAACACACCACATGATGCAGGCTGGAGACTGTAAATTGTAGCAAGAGAGTGAACAACCAGGGACCATCCTTAGGAGGCTGTTAAATAAAGGAGGACGGAATCCTAACACCAAGGGCAAGGGTTTGGATTCCCGCACCGACCAGCCACCAAAAAATAAAAATAAAAAAATCACATAACATTAAAAGTTAAAAATCCAGAAGAGTAGCGAGGCCAGTTGGGGTGGCCTGGCTCAGAAGGTACCACTGGAGCAGACTCTGGAGGAGGCAGGGGGAGGGAGCCTTGGGGGCCTCTAGGAGAAGTAACAAGGAGAGGGAGTTGGGGAGGAGTGGTGGGAGGCGTGGAGGCATGGTCACCATTGGACGCCAGGGTCTAGCTCTCCATCATTGTGTCCCGACCCACATCTACCACACGGAGTGACACTTGACCTGAGCAGATGCCCTCCCTTCTCCCAAGTCTTGATCACAGTCGGCTCTACCCTGCACGGCCAGAGCCCAGCCCTGCGCCCAGCATGCAACACATTCTCCAAAACAACATTGCTTTGGTAGGTATTTGCTGACTGACTGAATAAATGAATGTGTGTGTCTCTGGATGTGCCGTGGGCAGGGATGGAGGCTGAGAGGGGCTGTGGCTTTGGCCAGGGTAAGGGATCCAGGCTGGCAAAGGGCTGGGAATCCACCAGAAGGGAGACAGAAGGTACAGTCAACACCAGGACTGCCCCCCAAGAACGTAACGTAGCGGGAGACTGTGATAGCAACGATGAACCAGGAGCAATCACACACTACAATCAGAGGGAGAGACTCAGACAGAAGCAAGGGAGAGGCGCTACCAGGGAAGGCAGAGGAGCTAGCCCAGGACCTCAAGGCCTGGGTTCGTGGCTGGGCTCTGCTTCTATCAACGCTGGGGGGCCCTCAGGGGCCGGTCTCCACCTTGGAATGCCCTCTCTGGTCCCTACTTTGGCCGAGTACACAGTGAAGAGACTGGTGGCATTGAAAATAAATCAATGGAACTGTGAGGTAGCTATGCTGTGGACCTGGCCCATGCCCCACAGGGTCAATTGGAACATGGTGCTCTGAGCTTATCCAATCCCAACGTTGTGCCCCCAAGGACAGGAGGCAGGGTGAAAGAAGACAACTAGGCAGATGCTAAGAAAACCACGTGAAACTTCTAGAAACTAAAAGAAGAGCAGTAACTATAGTCCTGGAATTATTACTGTGGGGTATTGGAGAGGGAAGGTGGCATGTGGAGGGTCCCTGGACTGAAGTCGACCCACACACAGGGATGTTCATGCTGCACTGCCATGTGCAGTACCAGGGAAAGGAAATACCTCCGTGTCACTGGGTGGGGACTGGCTACATCGTTCCTGCTGCATCTGCACAGGACAGCACAGATGCTCCTTAACTTACAATGGGGTCACATTCCAGTAAACCCTTCTTAAGTTGAAAATATTGTAAGTCAAAAGCACGTTTTCAATTTGCGGTATTTTCAACTTATGATGAGTTTATCTGGACATAACCCTATCATAAGTCGAGGAGTGTACCGAATGGGTATTGCTCTCAAACATGGTAAAGTTGAAAAATCATAAGTCAAACCATCGTAATTCGGGGATGTCAATATTACAGAGAGGTCAAAGAGGGTGACTGGAACCCACATGGACAAATGGGAGAAGAGCTGGAGATACGTAGCCAGGGGAAGAAGTGACGGAAGAAGTGCTGATAACACCAAGGTCAAGGGTTCAGATCCCATTACCCGCCAGCCACCAAAAAAAAAAAAAGATATTGTCTCTATTTTTGAACAAAGAAAGAGGGTACTTTCTATTCTAAGAGTATCTCTGGCAGAAAGATGTACCTCAAGGAAATGTACCTGTGGGGTGGGGTTGGGGGTCAGGAGTGAACGAGTTTTTTTTCACTGTATAACATTTCCTATTCCTTAGACAATTTTATCCTGTAAAAAAAAAATTTTTTTTTTTTTTTTTTTTGCTAAAAACCAGGTGCATCTGATTCCAAAGCCCAAGGTCTGCTGGGATGCCTTTCCCAACCTTCTAGGGTTCCTCTGCTTCACCCCTTCCTGGTGGCTGCTGGTTGCCCCTGGAGAGTGCCCACCTGTCTGTCACCTGAGGCCCTGTAGGCTGGCTGCCCTGTTGGGGGCTGGGACTAGGGCCTGGTATCCTGGGAGCCCAGGGAGGGTCCTGAGCAGAAATGAGTCCCTCCCCCAGCCCTCCCTCCACTTACATGGCACTGGCCGTGTAGCTAGCATCTCCACCATCCACATACTGCACCTGGCTGGAGTACACGTGTGGGACGGGCACCTGCTGGAGCTGCTGCACCTGGATCAGGAGGAAGGGCATGCGGGGGGTCAGGGCTGGGCCAGCTTCACTGCCCCTGCCCCTAAAGGGCTGGTGGCTGCCCAAGCTCTCCCCTTGCCCACCTCCCCAGCTGGGAGGGGGCTCTTCTCAGCTCTCTGAACAACACACCCTGGATGAGCCGGGGGTCAGAGGCCCAGGGGCTGCGGAATCAGTAAGAGCTGTGCAAGGAAAAACCAGGACACTGTTTTCGCTGGCACAGCAAGGACGGGGCCTGACGGACAGCAGAGGGACCCCAGACAGGGTCCTACAGTGGGCGTGAAGACTGGACCACAGGGGCAGAGCCAAGCTCAGGGATAAGGAAATCGCTATAGAGCCAGAGCCTGGAACTACAATAGGGGCCTCAGGGGCGGGGCCTGGAAACCAGGCACGGGATGTTAGGGGTGGAGTCTGGGGCCCCGCTTTGTGCGACAGAACCTGGAATGACTGACAAGGGATTAGGGGCGGGCCTGAGTACCCCACCTCCATCCCTTAACCCGTCTGCAGGGGCGGAGCCTGGGACCTGGAACTGGCTCTGGGGGTCAGAGGTGGGTCCCCAGACAGACTGGCCGGACGGAGATGGGGTCTGCGGGGCTTGTGGGGCCTGGCGGGCAGCCCGGGCCGGGCGCCCCCGCCCCTGCCCGCCCGTTACCCCCCACCCGTGCGTCCGCCACCTACTTTGAGGGCCGTGGCGGCCGTGCCGAACACTAGCACCTGGGGGACTCTCTGGATCCTGACCCTCTGGTCGGGGCTGGCTCGGGCCGGGAGCCCGGGCAGTGGCTCGAGGACCACTTTCTGCTGCGGCAGGAGCAGGTGCGGGGGCAGCACGCCCACCAGCTCCACCCACTGCTCGGCGCCCAGCTCGTAACGGGGCGGCGGCGGCGGCCGGGGGCTGCCTAGCTGCGGGGCCTCGCAGCGGCACGCGGGCGGGAGCCTGCTGTACG